CAGCAGCAGCCAAAGCAGAGCCTGCCGCTCAGTTAGAGGCCAGCAACCATTCTGAGCACAGCCCTTTGCACCAGCTCTTTCATGGTCTATGGTGATGCAGAAAGCACCACGATCTACCATGTCACCCAGGCTCTTTCCCACAGCATATTTCAAAGTGTGTGCCAGCAAATTTCTTATAGATACGGTGACCTGAGAGTTGACAAGGACCTCAGGAAGTCACTTGTGACATCCTTAGAACCGTTCCGTGCTTCAGCACTACCAGGCCAACCTCTAGTGAATCACTGACAAGTTATTTCTCCACCCAGATGTATAAATTTGGGCTTAAGGCATTTCCTTTAACATTCATAATGATGAATTACAGGCTGACCTGAACAGCTCTGATTTGCCTCTGATGCACTCTCTCAGCTTCTGAGGCTGTGTAAGGAATTAAAAGACATTTTTTGCAAGGTCTCCTTTCCCAAGGAAATCCACCACTTTCCTCTTCACTGTATTCACATCTAATGCTGGTGCTGCAATATACAGTCCCAGGAAAGGATATTGTCTCAAAGTCTTTATTTCCTGGGTGTTCTAAATAAATTGGACCAATATGAACACATTGTGTTTCTGCTTCATGTTCTACAAGGTTAATGTGTATATGAGCAAACAGTCTGTGAAATGCTCATCAGTAGTTGATGATTTCTCTTCTGTTACAACTTGCTTTGCTCCCCTGACCCATGTGCTGTAATACTTAGGGATTTTTTTAAACCTTGCTCTGGAATTCATGGTGTCATAACAAATGGATTAAATGCAAAGTCTTGTTTTCTCTCTGTTCATTTAAGGAATTTGTCTTTTGATTTGATATTGCTCACTTTTTATTTTGTATTGAGAGATTTAGACACAGTAATAAATGAAAAGACAGATAAAATGAGTCTTGGGAACTCAGTACTGAGTTCTATCAGCCCTGGAACTGTCCCATGATGTTAGGCAAGACTTTGGGAACTCTTCACTAAATTTTCATGAAATGTCAGGTTTGAGGGACTCTTTGTGAATAATTAGTAACTGATGTCATGATACTTTCATACTGAACTCACAGGTGGTAGCTATTATTTTCGATTCAGAGTGCAATCACAATAGATGACATCTCAAAAGCTGTTGTTCCGTTCCTTCCAGATTTCCTTGAAGTTACAGATTAAGTTTAGATTAGACAACTCCATAACCTAAATGTGGAAAGGCAATGGAGTAAAACTTCGGAGTAATTTGCTGCAGGCCCATTTTTTCTTGATTGAATGTATGTTTGGCAGGAAAAGAAAGTTAGATAGTAATAATCTAATTTAGAACCCAAAATGCATAATAATTTATGCCTGGTTTGGAATGAACTTGAGGCCAATTTCAAAAGGCTCCTGCTGCTGGAGTTTCTAGTTGACCAGTAATGTTGCAGTGTATCCAGTGTGCTTCCTCTGTCTTATGGCTGTTGTCCAGTCACACAACTAGAACCTAATTGCTCTTTTTCCCAATTTCCCATGTGAGATTGCTAATAGTGAACATATACAAAGGCAAGGGGTGATAGTAATGGGTTCTCCTAAGAGCAAACTTTGGCCTCTTTCGGGTCTGCTTGGTAGAGTATCATGGATAAAGCTCTGGAAGGAAGAGGGGCCCAAGAAAGCAGGTTAGTATTCAAGGATCATCTCCTCCAAGGTCAGGAGTGATGCATCCCAACTATGAGGAAGTCAGGCGAAAATGCCAGGATGCCTGCATGGATGAACAAGGAGCTCCTGGACAAATTCAAACACAGAAAGAAAGCGTACAGAGGGTAGAAAAAAGGACAACTAGCCTGGGAGGAATACAGAGAAATTGTCTGAGCAGCCAGGCACCAGGTTAAGAAAGCTGAAGTCCTCACAGAATTAAGTCTCGCCAGGAACATCAAGGGCAACAAAAAGGACTTCTATAGGTACAGCAGTGATAAAAGGAAGACTAGACAAAATGTGGGCCCTCTCTGGAAGGAAACAGGAGACCTGGTTATCTGAGACATGTAGAAAGCTGAGGTAATCAATGACTTATTTGCCCAAGTCACAGAAGGCAAAGGCAGGGACTGGGAGAAAGGTGAACTGCCCCCTGTGGGAGAAGATCATGTTCGAGAGTATCTAAGGAAGCTGAAGGTGCACAACATAAGAAGGACGTGGACCTGCTGGAGCAAGTCCAGAGGAGGCCACAGAGATGATCAGAGGGCTGGAGCACCTCTCCTATGGAGACAGGCTGAGAGAATTGGGCTTGTTCAGCCTGGAGAAGAGAAGGCTCCAGGGAGACGTTAGAGCAGCCTTGCAGTACTTACAGGAGCCTTACAAGAAATCTGAAGAGGGACCTTTAACAAGGGCATGTAGGGATAGGACAAGGGGGAATGGCTTTAAACTGACAAAGAGGAGATTTAGATGAGATACTAGGAAGTAGTTCTTCATTGTGGAGTTAGTGAGGCACTGGAAGAATTTGCCCAGAGAAGCTGTGCCTGCCCCATCCCTGGCAGTGTTCAAGGCCAGGCTGGATGGGGCTTTGAGCAACCTGGTCTACTGGAAGGTGTCCCTGCCCATCGCAGGGGAATTGGAACTAGATGAGCTTTATGGTTCCTTCCAACCCAGTGATTCTATGATCTCATTTAAATCTCACTGCAGCAAAGTGACTCAAACACCACCAGTGCATTCTTGCTCCTGGATGCACTTTAAATAAAATCAGAACATTCCCCAGATATTACCTCATATTTCTCTGAGATTCCAAAGCCAGGGGATTAAAATAATGAAAGGAAAATATATGAGAGTGGAACCAACTTCTTGTCCAGAAGGAATAAATCACCGTCTTTGCCTTTTTCTTGTGACTGACCCAGGACTCAAGTCTAAAGAGCAAAGCCTCTGACCGTGTTCTCAGGAGAGATTCAACCAGCTCCTAATTATATGAGCAAGAAGTGGGTGGTAACTTCACTAGGAGCTTGTGACTGAAAGAACTACCCACGGGACTGAAGTAATTTCCCATCTCAGTCCCACTTTCTAATACCGAATTCTGGGAAGAGAGCCTAGTCCTCAAGTGCTTTTTGCTATGATTTGACCATTGCTGATATGAATGCTCTTTGTGTCTGATACCTTAGGGAATGACTGTTTGCCTTTCCCACCTCCAGATGCACAGCCTCACAGCAGCGAGTATTCAGCTGGTCACTGCTGTCTGTCTCTGGCTTGGTCAGTAAGCATGATCCTTCAGGCTCCATTCCCTATCTGCTTCAGCTCCCTGCCTTGCTTCTGAGGAGATGGTGTTTTCTCACATATCTCTTCAGCTAAGAAGACTATATTTCATCCTTTACCCTTTTCTTTCCCAAACACAACAGTGTTTTTTTAATGTTGATTACTGTATTATACTATATCTGGATTAATTTCTAGATCTGAGGTAGACTACTAGCCTCATTCCTTGGAAAGCTTTCATGTTTTCTATTCTTATCCTCCCTATGTGAAAGATTCCCATTCGTCTGGACCAGTTTGGCATGCATGCTGCACAGCACAGAGTGTTCTGCTTTTCCTGTTTCAAAGCTCTGGTTGCCTTGTCATTGCTGTATAAACCACATCATCTCTCTCTGAATCTGTAAAAGTGTGTTGCCATGTATCATTGAATTGTACCCTATTGATTCTGTAGTATGTTTGTGGAGGAGTTTGTCATAGTGCGGTCTGTTCCCCTTGCCAGGTGGACTACACTGACTGGATCTGATTATCAAACCCTGTGAGCACATAAATACTGGAAAGGAATTGGCCTGTACCTATGAATTGCAAGAATATTTTCTGAGTGTGAGCCCTGAACCTGACACCTCTCTGCAGTGGGCATCATCTTTTTCCTTTCACAGCTTTAAAAAACACTTTGAGCTAGATACTGTTACACATTCAAAATCTTGTGATCTAGTTCATGCAATATTTTGACCAACCTTTCTGAATACTAGGCTGAGGGAGAGGTAAGGACAGTCTTAAAGGAGAGCCTGGAAACTTTTTAAGCTGGTGATTTCTCTTGCCTAGATCCAATACAGACATTATAGAGAGCTGCTGTGACCTTTCTGCTGTCATTGCTCTGCAGAGCTCTATAGGCCTGAGCAGTCATTACTTCTCCCTGTGTAACTGAACCAAAGCATGCCTGCAGCCAATACACAGCAGAGAATTTATTGATTGTCTCTGGAATTGGGCAATTCTGTTAATTGTCTTCATTTTCCAGGACTCTGTCATTCTTTTCCTGAACCATTAGTGGCACAGCTATTTGTGTGCCAGCATGAGCTGCCTGGAAAAAAGCTAGAATTGAACAGCAAATCAATCAAAGAAAAGGACAGATACCTCTCAAAGATAATTACATTCAGATATCCTGGGGAGCCTTACAAATCCCTTGTCAGTTTCTACAGCTCTTTTCCCTCATTGTGGCTTTGGTTTGAGGAACCTCTACTGAGCAACAAGACATTCCTAAACAATGCCAGCAATGTGTCAAAAGACTTCTTTCCTTTTTCATGATCTACCTCCCCAGTGCTCTCTAGCCAGAGAGCAGACTCCCAAGCAAGGACTTTTTCCATTATTTATATTTCCAAGGGTCGAAATGGTTGGGGTGGCTCTGCCTTTCCCATCTACGAAGCGCATTAAGGAGCACTAGGACATTGGTGGGACCTGAAGAAGGAAGTTGGTTTTGGGTTTTGTTCTTTCCTTTTCTTTGCAGCCTGGATATTAATCCCTGTACCATTTCCCATGGTGGGAACATGTGGTCTGAACTTGGATGTGTTTTAAGTAAATGCAATGGGAGTCACTAATTGTGAGTTGTTGTCTACATAGATTTCCTAGACAAGAATGTCACCCAATATTTTTAATACACCAAACTCATTACACTTTGTATACATACTATGTCTTATTTACATATAATTTATTCATACTTACTCGAAGTACGTGCTATCACAAACACAATAAAAAAATATGTATTTCTGCTTCATTATTTCTTTCATCAGAAAAAAACAGTTACTTCCATACAAAGTGTTTATTGCATCTTTTAAATGAGGTGTTTCTAGCACAGTTTTAATCCTACAAAAATACACTGCTAGAGTATAGCACACATTTTGAAAAAAAACCTGATATTTGGGGGTGAACAGTCCTCTGGCAGTTTTGGGATACCATCCAGCATTTTCAGATTTGGCAAACTGGAGAACACACTGAAAGAGAGACAAAAGAAAAATAGAAATTGAGATAAATAATCTTGGGAAACATTTAGAACAAAATAGACACTGATAAATAACAAATTGTGGATTCCAACATATCCAAAATAGATTTGCATTACTCGATTTTTCACTTGTTGCAGAATTTATCTGACAAAGAACTAATTAAAAATGCTCAGGTTTTGCTCTGTTGCACAAGTTTTATATCCTCAGACTCAGTAAAGCACTGCGAATATCTACATTTTTAATAGAGAAGAACCAAACCAGTTGTCTAATGCAAACAACAGGACACAGTGTTAACCTAGACTGAATTTCCTAGACTTCTGAAAAGCAAAGGTTCAGACTGCAAAAAGTGCAACATCCTTCTGTGACAGAGAAACCAGGCTCTCTGCCAACCTTTCGCACTCCTGTTTCTCCCAAAGAAAAGTCCTTGTTTTGTGGGCAAGATGCCAAACCAAAACAAATGACTCTACCTCCTGTCCCTTTTAAACAGTACATCAGTATCTCTAACCTCAGTCTTGAACACTGCTGTTTTCCTGTTCAGAGGAGTGTGGTGGACCCAGAGTCCCTGCACAAGCATGGCAAAGGCTGTCAACCCACATGCTATGATGTTTACTTCTGTGCCTTTTAAGGTAAGTGTGGACTTCAGTGCTCAATCTCAGCATGTATTTATCATCAGGGCTTTGTCTGTGCTTGAAACTGATTCATTCTGTCTTCTTACACTGGCAATGAAAGTAATACCAGAGTAATACCAACGTTTAATTGTCTTAAGAACAGGTAGGATTTGGAGCAGAAATATAATTAGTAATTGTTAAGAAGTGCTTTTAAGCTTTTGTTCTCCTGGACTTTTTGATATGCAAATAAAAAGTGAAATCCATAATTTCAAACTTACTTTTTAACTTTTACTTTGCTATCTGTCTGTCTAACTTTAGAAAGCACAAGCACCACCATCACACTGTCAAAGGGATGTCTCTAGACTGAAGGAAAAAACATACTGGAAACTCAGAAAGGTTTTTATTAAACACTTTCTTTTAAATGCCTCCTTTTTTTCCCCATTCCCAGGAAGAGATGACTTCTTAGACACATGCTGTAAGGTTTATCTTGAAAAATTAACAATGCCTTCTGTAGGTGGCTGACATGACTCTGTAGTGTGACAAACATGCAACCATGAAGATTTCCGAGGAGTTCAGAAGGAACATACTTTATTCCCTTTCTGACCTGTGCACAATTTTTTTTCCTGGCAACAGCATTTTGGAGTCAAAGCAACTGGGGAAGAACAGAATAGGGGTGCGAATGTCAAAACACACATGAGACAACATAAATTATCTTCCCCTGAATTCTCTACTCTGTCTTGGATTTGCATGTTCATTTCCAGTGTCTGAGGCAGCTCTATTAAGTCCACACTACACTACACTGCCTGCAACATACACCTATACCAAATAAGGTATTCAAGGCAGTGCAACTGATGCCACAGAAAGAGGAGAGAATCTAGAAAAATCAGATTAAGGTAACTTAGTTTTCTTTTGCTTTAGCTCCCATTTTTCACCACATCCTTCTGATTCCAACTCTAACATGTAATGTAATTTAGACTCCTTTCAGAATACATGAGGGATGCAATGAGACTGAAGAGAGTTTGAGTAATAGGTAATTTCTATTAATAAAAGGGAATCTATTTTATATTCGCTACTCACTGTCTCTAAATGTGATCCATGGACTTACTTCAGTTCAAGAACTGCTAGTCATGTGATTAGAAAGCCTCCTAGGCAGCTTCTGAATATTTTGTGTCTATTATCAGAAACTAGCTCACCAGCCCATATTTCTGGATCATTTATGATAGTTAAGACTACGGGAAAATAAAAAGATTGCTAGGGAGAGCTTGTTGTATTTGAGATCATATCCTTCAGAACTCTCTCACAAACACTTCTTTGTGTTTATCGACCAGCCATGAGATTGTAAGACTTACAGTTGTCTGTATCTTTCTTGAAACTCACAGGGATTCCTCTTGAGTATAAGGGATTCAAGTGGAGTATGTCTGAAGTCTGATATTCCACTTAGTGTCATAATGTTATTTTCAGCAAGTGATAAGTGCTGAATCTGAGGTATCCTTGGCAGCTGTTTGAAGGATGTAAAGTGGTTTTTATTGACATTTAGTTCTCTGCATCTGTAAAGTATAAAATGTAAGACATCACTGATCACATCTGTAATAGTATATACCTGTAAGTCAAAACATGACATAGTAGTCAATGTCCTGGCAACTTAGAGCTTCCAATGAGAGACAGAAGAATTGATTCCTTAGGAACTGCTTTCACACTAGTTTTACATTAGTGCTATTTTTGCTACCCATGGACTGCAAGATCAGATTCCTACACTTTATATTCTTAGCTTTCTTTATATTGTACAATGGATAGATCATTATTCCTGTTCTCAATATTACAACTTTCCATAAGCCTAGACATATGACAACATAGTAACAATAGATAGTTTGTAAAAACCCTCTTTGCCTGGGTTATATTCCAGGATCCCTTCAGTGTTCAGAAACTTTCCTTTTCAGCATAAATATCACTGAACTTAATGAGATTCATTAATTATTTGACAGGAATAAAGGGGACACCATCTGATCTCCTTGCCGAATATTTTCAATTTGGGAATTACACGAACTCAGAATATCAATGAACTGATGGATTCTCAACATAATACCCAAAAAATGTCATATTTTTGCAGTTCTCAAGAGGCTGTCCTAGCTATTACTTAAGCAAGTAATAATTTTGATTTCTGTGATATTGCATGAAAAGAGAAACAGGACATTTTGTCTACCTTGGCAACCTTATGGCACTTAGGTCTGTCAAAGAATTGTCCACCAACCAAAGTTTTTCCACCCGGATTAACCTTTGGAGAATCCTTTTGAATTTTTCCACCTGGTAAAGATCACCCAGGTCCTGAAATGAAAGGTTTAACTCCTGGGAAGGGAAAAATAAGCAAAATAATTTACTTTTTTTTTTTTTTTGCTTTCTAATAACTATATCATTAAATCTTTACAATGTCAGAATTAGTTAAAAGGTGAATCTATTTTATTATGCTGCTCTTATAACAATTGGTGCTGCCAGTTGCCAAATTCACCTTAGAATCATAGTGATGCACTGCATAATTCTTTGAAAGGAAAGAAGAAAGAAACCATCTCTTAAGCATGTGAATCTTACTGTCCAGCCCCTTCTCCCTCTTTGAGTGGGGTTGCCAGTGTGTGTGTGCTTTGGGTGGAGAAAGCAGGACTAAGTGATCATGGCTTATTGGTTTGGCTTCTAAACTCATCTGAAATAAAAAATGCTGTGCAGCAACCAGATACCAATATTCCCCAGTCTGTGTCAGATGTTTATGCATAGGGAGAGATGTGATTCGGAGTACTGGATCTCAATGTTAGATGAAGTTACTACCTAGCTTTCTCCTTCATCTTACAGATTCTGATCAGAACCAGCAATGCTGTAGTACCTCCAGCCAAAAGAACTGATCAGGCTGCTATTAGGAGAGAGTGAAAGAGCTGAAATGAAACTAATCAATTTGCTAACCGTTCATTTATCGTCAATTTTTGAAGAAGGCACTAAGCAGATGAAGAATGTCACTAGTTCTCACATGCCCAAGCACAAATGAAGCCCAGACACAACATAGAAGTTTACTCTTTTGGGTCACAACCCAAATAATAGTATATTCCAGCATTTCTTTCTTTTACAATGTCATGGTGCCAACCAGAGATTTAAACCTGCTAACTGCAGTGAGCAGCCAGCACATTATTATTTGGCTTATTTACTGTAGTACAAAATATTAACGAGAAAATTTTACAGCACAGTCTTCCCAGTTCTCTTGCAGTTTCTTTTGCCACTTCTCTGTGTCAGTTGCTTGTTTTATTTTTTTCAAAGTATGTTCTTCTCCTCTGAAAAATAGCTCTTCTTCTGAGGGCCCTGGTCAGAAAAAAAAAACCAACGTTTAAAATAGTGGATGTGATAGGAAACTGGCATTTAGTTACTTGCTAAAAGACTATATATATAGCTTAGAAGATATCTGAAATGACGAAATATATATAATATTATAGGTATGCGGGTTTCCAGGCTTCTACAATATAAATTAATGTGAAGATTTTTCTATCATTTCTAGGCTCATAATTCAGCAAGCAATCTAAGGCCGTGATGATTTGGTATATGGTTACTAAATGACATTTCTTCTACAGCTAAGAATAACAGGTTTTCCTAAATGGTTGAGCATAAACATCTGAGTTCTAAAATACTGCTTCTATATACACTTTCACATGCTACGAGTTTATATAGTGGTTATGTACTTATCCTTTAATTGTCCCAAGAAATGTATATGTTTGCAACTTCCAGACTACTGATAACAACTGCAACTTGGATCAACAGCCATATTCAAAATCTCAGTTATATTAAGAACAACACACACTGAAGACTTAAAAACTTAAGGTCGACTGAAATGCTTAGAGCTATGGGTATCTTCAAGCTCCTAACAATAGCAAGTACAGTGTGGACTTTTTCCATTGTTTAGTCCAAAACGTGCAAACACTAGATTTTAAAATCCACCTTTCATTCTCTGTTCTTGGGTGTGCCTACAGATTGTAATTGGGTCAGTTCAGTCTTAAAATAAAATATATAAAGCAGTGGTTTGCGGAACTGGATTTCATTCTTGGTTTCTTGTTTGGCAAAACGCTATTGCATTCTCAACAGTACTTAAATGCTAATGAACTTTTGAGAGAAGTAGTCAACACCACATTAAAACTTTTTATATTACAGTTTTCACTTTTGTTTCACATTTTCAAAATTATGAAGGGTATTTTCCTAGTGATTAAAAAAAGCAAACATGTACAATATGGAATGAAATCCTGCCCCTTTCAAAACAATGGCAAACTCCACAACTTAAGTTCATAACATTTAAAGACATACTGTTTGAGTAAATAGAATTGAGGCTTGAACATGAATATGTCTTTTTGATCTTTACCTTCTCTCACTCGGGGACAATGAAGCAGATTTCCTTGAACACCATGTTCTTCTATGTCACACCAGCTGACATACTTGAAGCAATCAGAAGGAAGCTTAAAAAAAAGTAAAATAAAGGTATAAAACTATCAGGTAAGATTTTTCAGTTTCTCATGTTGTATTTTTCATATTTCTGTCCCTGTTACAGTAAAAATAATATTCATACATGTTTACAATGTCTTTTGCCTTAATACTATCTGGTGAATAGAAAAATACGGAAATGAGGAGACAATGGCGCACATTTGTGTATGTATATTACATGTAAACATATTTCTGGACAAGCTTACATACAATGTATCCTGGATGCAACTGGGGAACTAAATCTAAATACAGAAAACCTGCCATTGCATTCAAGAATACAAGGTTTATGCCCATTTTGCTTTTCCACTAAAACATGTTCTGTAATTTCCAGGTCATCAGTCTCCCATGAGGGAGCAAGGAACAAAGTCTAACTCTGCCTGTAGCGTATGGAGTAGGTGTGATTTGTGCCATGCCTAACAGACATAGCACCATGATTGCTTGTAGTGGAGGAATCTCTCAGTGCAATGCAGTTTGGCATTTGCTTGAATTTCCAGGATTTCATTCACTGGAGACCATAATGGTGGACTTGAGACAGGAGGAGAGATGGAGCATGCACCTCTGATTCATGCCCTCCAGTTAAAGCCACAGCCAGAAGCTGGTAAAGGCAGTGAGAATCCACAGTTTAGGTCTAGTTTACAAACCATCCTGGTTTACTTCTACGGATTGGCTCAAATACTGGAGAGACATCTTCTCACACCAGCACTCGAGGTTATGACATTTTATAGACTCTTCAGAACTTAATATATATTCATCCATTGCATCCAGTTCTGAGCATAGTCCTCAAAGGCTAAGTCAAATCCCTTGCCACTGTTGCCACTATATCATATAATCTTATTTATAATCTGACCTAGTTTTGAAAGACAAAAGTAGGTAAACCATAATCAGCTTCAAAGCTGAGGAAGAGATTTCTGCCTTAGTTTCTCTTTGTCAGTTTCTCTCATCTATACACTTGTAACCAAACTGGTATGCCAAACACTTACTGGGGAAGGTAGTCCAGAATCACAGTTCTGCCTGTTGATTCCTCTGTTTTGTGATAGAACCAGTGGAACAGTGTGTGTTTCACTTAGGATGGAGCAGCAGGATGAATATGATTTACAGAACATTCGACTGCTTGTAGTCAGACCTGAGGAACTAGAGAGGAGATGTTAAGCCAGTAACTGTTTCTGTTCAGGAAAATGCAAGCTATTTTATAATAACAGAAAATACAGAGTAGTAAGGGGTAGGACTTACCACCAGAAAATAGTCACATGATCCTGAGGTCAAACCATAGGTAATCTACTCTAGTCCCTTAATTTCACCTCTCACCTAAGGACCCCTTATTTATACAAGGCTTTCACATGTATTTTCAAACATTTGAAAGAGGAACTTACTGGCAGTTTGTTAGAAAAGCTCAGTCTTGGAGAAAATGAAGAACTGAACTTGTTCAATAGCATGATACTGTCCCCTTATAACCTGTATAGTCCTGCTTTTATGGATCCAGGTTGTATGAAAAGATACCTCAACTGCATACTTATTTTTAATCCCTTGAGTATGTTTTAGTAGAATATCAAGGCTCCAGGCTCTTTATTCAATAGAGTCTTGAAGTCATGTGCTTATGTGCTTTGCTAGTTCATTGCCTCAGAACACTTCCAAATGTATATTTTATATATATCAAATGACGCAATTTCTCCAACTGTGCTTCAGAGAGATTGAATAATTTGCAGACTGGCAGCTGCAATTTAGAAATTTACCATGGAATACTACAAAAAAAAAATTCTAATTTACTAACTGTGTGCATACAGTGCTATAATTTGACTTTTACTGTACAAGCTCAGTGAGAGCTTGCCAGAAAGTATCAGCTGTCAGTAAGCATCATTAAAACAGTTATAGTCAGGAGCACTAATAGAGAATAAAAATGCAGCTTTAAAATGGTCTAGTGAGGATGGTAATGAAAATTTCATATTGAGTGTAACAGACAAGCTAAACAGAACATCAGTTAAAACTTACAATTAAAGATTGCTGGCAAATAATCATGAAGTGCTGTATACTCTTGACTTTACTAAGATTGTTTTGCCTTTTTTAAACCTTGGTAAAAAACAATATTATATCTTTCTTGGCTTTCGCTTTAAAGTGCATACAGACTGCACATAACAGTACTGACAAAAAGAACTACTACTCCTGTCATGCTTTATGTTTTTTGTTTTGTTTTGTTTTGTTTTTTTAAATGGGATCAAACCAGCCACAGTAAACTGCAGGCAACTTAAAGGAAGCTGAGCAAGCTCAGCATTTCTGAAAATGTCATCTAATTACTTAGGCATTTTTAGAGCTCATCTTGAGGCAAAGAGACCATTTTCATATGTGTGTGCTGATACAGATCAGCAGGCATTCACACACATGAAAAAAACAATTGCTGGGATCTTTTGCTTAGCCCTATCTTGGTATTTGTTTTGCTTCTGGTTCCTTGTATGTTCAATGAGATTCTACCAGGTAAATATGTAGATATTCTTTTATATTTAAGAAAAAGTTATGTTACACTTCTCAGTTTTGCAAGTGAGGAAATACATCTGTTAGGATGTAAACAAATTACTATTTATAAATGCAAGACTTTTCAAAACCTACCTTCCTCTCAGCTAGATACTACCTCCTCTGCTGAGACATGAATATACAGTCCTAGTCCCTTGAAATGTGGGATGAAATATTTTATCTGAGCCATTTAACACAATATATATTCTTATCTTTTGGTGGAAACCTATTCACAAAAATCTGTACTGTTGATAGAAAATAAAACATAAAATTCCAGAATCAATATGTGATAGATAAGACTTCTCCAATCAGGTGGGTAGTGAGATTTCTTTTGGAAAGAGT